TACACCAAGTCTATAGCATAAAACAAAACTAAATATCTGCTCATCCAAACCACTAATTAAACCCAGGTCAGCTCCTGATTAACAAGGCATCTACTTATAAGTTTTCCTGAAACAAACAAACAGCCGCTATAACATTTAGTGTTCTGTAAACAGTCAGGTTTTTCACACAGCAGCAGCTTTCCACAGCAGAGAAAGCCAGAAAGAGCCAGAAAGACAGAGAGTCCTAAACAGGTGCGGATTGACCATTTGGGCACTCGGGCACTGCCGAGGGCCTAGGGTCAGTAGGGGGCCCCATGAGATGCCCCTGGTGCCTTTCAAAGGCTTCTTTGGGTGTGGTTTGAGTGTGGGCGAGGACACAGGGGCCCCATGATCCCCTATTACCCGGGGGCCCCATGAGTTGTCAGTCTGCCCCTGGTCCTAAGCATCAGCTAATCTAAAGTCCTATGCAGAGTTGAAACTATTAACTATCACAAATCCTGGAGTCCCTTACCATATGTAGAAAAACCAAGCAAGTGAAACCCAGATGTCATATACGTATTCCTTACACCATCCACAATCTTGCCAGCCAGTGCCTCACACCTTATATTTATTGTCTGTGCTGATAACAACAAGCCCCACAAACCTATATTGGTTAAGTACCTGGCATAGTAGCCACTATAGGGGCAACTGGGCCCCACTCTACTGGGATGGCTCAGGACAAACATATATCTATAGTCTGGAAGCCCTGACTTTTTGTCAGAAGTGTGAGAATTTGTAAGAAAGTGAGTGAGTTTGTTGAAGCCCACCTCTATTCACTCTGATTTAACAGAATATGAAAATCATTGCAGCTTTAAATGTGCTATAATACTCTATGTGTGGGTTGGTTGGAGCCCACCTCTATTCACTGTGTTTTAACAGATTATAAAAAATCACTACAGCCAGGGGCGTCTCTAGGCAGGTACGGAGAGTGCGCACCGCACCTGGTGACACCTATCGCATGGGGTGACTCCGGACCCACTCCACGAAAAGGTAAGTTGTAAAGCAAGCCGACGATCCCCGCAGGATGGATCAAATCTGCGGATTGAGCATAATGGATCAGAGTACGATCCATTATCCTCCCCAATCCGCAGATCCGATCCATCCTGTGGGGATCGTTGGCATGCAACCTATACAGGGTGACACCGAACCCGCTCCACAAAAAGGTAAGTTGTAAAACAAGCGATCCCCGCAGGATGGATCGGATATGCAGATTGGGGAGCATAATGGATCGGACTACGATCCATTATGCTCAATCCACAGATCCGATCCATTCTGTGGGGATCATTGGAGGGGGTGTCACCGCACCGAGTGACACCAACCCTAGGGACCCCCTGACTACAGCCTACAATCATTTTGCACTTTGCAGTCTCCCAACAATATTGTCACTTTTATTGTTCCATTAGCCATATTACATGCTTACAAAATTTGTTGAAGTAATGATGTGAAAAGCAGTTTGCTACACCCTAAAATGTTGTTGCTCTAGGCTGTGGCCTATGTTACATTTACATGTCTTGTCTCTGGTCACATCATTCTTCCAAATAGCACTGAGTCATTTGAAATCCATTTATATTATTTTAGTAAGTTGTTTAACACAGTAAAAGAATTTCCTTTAGTGCTTATTTATTAAGACCGTACAAAAGAGGATTGATGTGCTTAGCACCTGTGATTTCCCCTTCCACCAGTTCATAGCAGTCAGAACAATGATGACAGATGACTTATGATTCTTTTCCAAGGGTTATTACACTTTGCATTATTAAATACTGACAGCAGTGTGACTCGCCAGTTGCTGAATGTAGCTTTCAATATGAAACTGGTTGAGGAGCTTTTAAAACAGTATTAAACCCAAAAGCAAACATTTATTATATTGCAACTTACCAATTCTTAGATGTTGGGCCACATAAGTTTTCCTTTTTATGTTTTCTTTCCTTTAATTTCACCCGATGATCTGGTCAGTAAAGCTGTTGGTTTTCAAAAGAACAACCTCTCTTTCAGATGTATCAGTTACAAAGATGAGACAAACTGTAACAGCAACTTTGGGAATACCAGGTAAAACTCGGGACACAAACTTGAGGAAAACAAACTTTTTATTAACCAGTGCTGGTTGAGACTTAGCAAGGACTCGTGTCTGCAAGCTAAGTGCCTTGAAAAGCATTTCACAGGGTATACATATCAGCAATTATGTCACAACACATATATTTCCTCTTTCACTTTCTGTACATTCAAATAACTTTCTAAACAGTGCAGAATATGACCTTGTGGTTTCACAGATAGATAAACTCTCTTCAGCTGAAAATAAGGGTACCAGGTGCAGACTGGAACACATTGTTACACAGGAAATAAGGGAGTGGGGGAAGTGAGCTGGTGACCTTGCGAACAGAGACTGTTAGAAATGTTAAAGTTTAAAGTGGAACTCTGCAATATTTGGGTGCTGCTACAAAACAATGTAACACTGGCAGGGGTGCTTACAATGATCAGCTTTCATTTTATTTATGTAAAACCTTTATCTCAAAAAGGAAAAAAAACTGTTGCTGCAACTGCTTGTGCAACTGCAGGGTGATCTAGAGTTTGGCTTCAGTTTCTTAGTGTATCTAAATCTGTTAGTACATCTAACACTCCCCTCCCTCCCAAAATGACAATGCTGCTGTCTGCTGTGCTCCCTGTGTTCCTTCATCCAGAGTGGGGGAACTCTAATACAGGAAGTGTGTTACTAGCAAGATCGCCAGGTGAAAACAGAAGGAAAAAAGCCTAAAAAAAGAAAACCACATCTAAAGATTGGTAATCTGCAATATATTCCGATTTTTGGTTTTGGATTTAATACCTCTTTAACTAAAGGAACCTATCAGGCTACTGGTATTGTTATAGAATCACTGAGCTTGTGGCTAAAACTGCTTTGTTTTTTCTCTGCAATCCTTTAACAGGTACAAAGTAATTAATTCTTGTATTATTGCACTGAACATTTAGAGAGCTACGTTGCATGTCTACCCAAATTGACAGAGAATGTAGCATAAAATCTGGCAGCAATGGACCGTATGGTGGTAAAGATAATATGTCCCATGACGCTTTATCTTTAGAACTGATTCCTCTCCCCTGCTGTGACCACTGATCAGATGAAATGAAGGTGACATTTGAGCTAAAATGAGTGAGAAAATTGGACATTGAAACAGTTTATGTACTGATTTGTGTAGACAATTTATTGAGTATTTCTGAGTCACATATAAGACAGTGGCATTGTTAGAATTGTGAAATATCTGAGGCATGCAAGGGAAAAAAATTGCAGTGGAAGGTGGATGTGGCCAGACCACATCTAAAGCTTGGTTCACATCTGTGCGGGTGGTGCCGCATTAGGACCTGCACAAATACCTGCAGCTGCACCACCCACACAGAGGAATGCGGGACCCGCAGGTGGGTGCCATTAATTCTAATAACATGCCACCAGCACTGGAAATTGCAACCATACTGGGAACCATGCGGGCTGTGATTTACCATGTAGTGCAGGGACTTCTTCCCTGTGTGTCCCAGAGCATGGGAGTCCATTCAAATGAATGGGCTCTTGTGCCCCCGCAAATCTCAGCCCGCACGGCCGCACATATGTGAATCAGGAGTAATAGTTGGAGTGGCCTAAATGAGAATGGTAAAATAGAATCTGAGCATAGTTGTTCCATAAACCTCTCACATATGCCACAGACCTTGCGCACACGCACAGTTCACTTCAATTACTGTGCCACAGACTGATCAGGCCATTTTTTGCGATATGGCGCTGTAATACTTTAACTGACAATTGCGCAGTCATGCAACTCTGCACCCAAATTAAATTTCTGTCATTTTTTTTCCCCCACAAATAAGGCTTTGTTTCGGTGGTATTTTTTCACCTCTAGGGTTTTTTTTTGTGCTATAAACAAAAAAAAGTTTTTGAAAAAAAAAAACAATATTTTTGACTTTTTGCTATAAAACATATCTAGTAAAAACATTAAAAAATCAAATTTTGTCATAAATTTAGGCCAAAATGTCTTAGTTAAAAAAAATCCCAATACGTGTAAATTAATTGGTTTACGTGAAAGTTATACAAATGGCGGTATATATACTGGAATTTTTTTGTCATTTATTTTTTTATGCAAGTAATGGCAGTGATCAGCGCCTTATAGCGGGACTGCAGGACTGCGGTGGGCATCCTGACACTGGGGGGGAACTGACTAACTGTCACTGACATACCCAGTGACACTAATAAAGTGATCGGTGCTAATAAAAAGCACTGACAGTGTACTAATGACACTGGGCAGGAAGGGGTTAACATCTGGGGTGATCAAAGGGTTAACTGTGTGCTGTGTGTGTTTTATTGTATGCTGTGTGCTGTGTTTTACTGTGTAAGCCTGCTTCTTTGTATTGTTCTGCTATGCGGAACAATACAAAGCAGCATGCTGGAGCTGACAGGGGAGAGATCTGTGTTGTTTATATTCAGGTCTCTCCCACGTCAATGATGCTCGGCGATTGCCGGAAGCCGGTGATCGTCAGCTGTAGTACACACGCCCCCGACCCTGAAATACAAAATCACGTATATATACGTGATTTTGTGCAGCCCTGCCACCCCGTAGCAGTAGTTCTGCTATAGGGTGGTCGGGAAGCGGTTAAAATAACAAACATGTTATTTGATAAATGTGATTCTTGTGAGCTACTATGGTGTATGCTATAAGTAAAAAATGATTTAAGTGAATATAAAAAAAAAATTGGTTAATGAAATATCACCAAGTGTTTTAATAAAAAATAAAATTGAATAAAGCTGAGTGAAATAAAATAAATTAAATAAATAAGCTGGTGTGTGAAATATTAAATAAATAAGTGGGTCGCCTACACTATACACATACTCATACTAGTGTGTCACTGTAAATAAATCAAAAAGCAAGGTATCACGCTCCACTACCAATAATGATTATATGAAATATATAAAAACATTCATAAATGAGAATAAATGAAAAAAAATATTAATTAAATTAAATAAAATAAATTGAAGTGAATAAGTCCAACATTAATTCATCAGCGTGATGCTACAATCATGCTGGTGCTGCATGCATGTCTTTGAATAATCCGTGATTTTGATGTGTCTTCTAATGGTGTAATACAAGATAAATAAGGTATAATCCACCAATCTTTAAATTGTGTTCTTCACCAGTTGTGCTCTCACCTGACGTATATGACCAAACTGTTAAGTGAGGTCATAAAAGCTTGTCTTTTTAATTGGATTCAAAGATGAACAGATGAATGTATCCCTGTTTCCCAGATGGATGGATGGATGAATGGAGTGTTTCCCTTTTCCCAGCAGGGGGTCTCGCCACTTCCTAGGGACCTTTTTCCTGGAGGCAGATGGATGGATGGAGTTATCCCTCTTCCCACTAGGGGGTCTCTTCACTCCCTTCAGATTTTTTTCTCCATGTGCATAAGTACCCTCCTTCCAGTTCCAGCAATGTCTTCTCTTTTCTTGGTATCACATGGAACTTCCTGCCTGTACTGACCACACTTCCTGTCTGTATGGTCAGTACAGGCAGGAAGTTCCTCTACATTGTGTAAAAACGCTGCTTGATCCTGACTTCTCTGATCCTCCCCTTCTTCCAATGCCCCCCTCTTATCTCCTGATAAGACATATTGTGTGGAGTCACTCTGCACATGCTCAGTTTGGTGTGTATTGCTAGAGAGGTTTTTTTTTTTTTCTTGTTAGAGTGCATGTGATCAGCACAGGGCCAATCAGCACTGTCCAGACAGAGGTCAAGGGTTCTGCATCCTCCTAGAGCAGAATGAAAACTGCTCCTACAAGCTTTAACATGTGAACAAAAGCAAAGCAGGACGCACTCTCTCCATGCATTACCATGGTGAAACACAAATTTATTTAAAAGCATATACATGCATACTCACAAACCAAAGGGGGATAAAAACAGAGAAGAAGAGTCCGTAATGACAGTCCAAAGTGGCGGCAGACCCTTGGTGAGGTAGGCTAACGCGTTTCGAGAGATGTACTCCCTTCTTCAGAGCTCCGTGTTTCACCACAGTAATGCACAAAGAGAGTGCGCCCTGTTTTGCTTTTGTTCACCAGTATCAAGATTTCCCAATCTTCTAAGGGCTGTACCTCTACGAATGACAGTTACAGTTATCCTAGTCTGCATGAAGATTTGAGCATTGGTTTCGTTTGTTTATTTGGAAAGCTTTAACATGTGCTCTGCTGGACACTGATAGAAGCCACAAGACTGCTATAACTGCTGATGAGAAAAAGATATTTAGCAGTTTATATTTACTAAAATAATTGCATTTCCATGTTGTGTGTACTGTGGGAGACCAGATATAGTGAAAGCAGGGTGCCGGGTTTAGTAACACTTTAAGACTATAAACACTTTAATAGGATTATATAACATACAACAAAATATATACTGTGCAGTAGTCAGCATGTCAGCACAGTATAATGTACAACATAGCATATAGAATACAGAGATCAGGACTGTGGAATGTACAACAGCATACAAAGTGCAGGGGTCAGGACTATGCAACATACAACGTTCCATACACAGTGCGGTGGTCAGGACTATGGTATGTACAACTTAGAATATACAATAAAGCCCACAGGGCTATGTAAAATACAACATCCAATATACAGTGCACTGGTCAGGATAATGTAAAACAATGTGTATACAAGGTAGTAGTCAGGGCTATGTAATTTGCAGCATATTGTGTACATTACAGCGGTCAGGACTATGTAAATGTGCAACACAGCATTTGCAGTGCAGCGGGCAGGGCCATGCAATGTATAGCATACAATATAGAGTACAGGCGTACCTCGGTTTACGAATGTCTCGGTTAACTTAATTTTCGGTTTACGAAAGAAAATCCATTGAAAATAATACCTCGATTTACGAATTTTTTTCGCAATATGAAGTAAGTTTCCCCAGGATGCATTGCACCTGGGAGGTTTATAGCGCTGGCCCCGTGCCTTTAAAGTGCACTTTATAAAGAGTTTTGAACAGATAAGACTTTTTTTTTACTCTTTTCTGACCTCCGGAATGGATTAATTGGTTTTCAATGTATTTACAAATTAATTTTTAATCATGTCCCCATATAGTATTCTTGTCTTTAAAGTGCACTTTATAAATAGTGTTGAACAGATAAAAGACTTTTGTTTTACTTTTTTTCTGACCTCTGGAACGGATTAATTGGTTTTCAATGCATTCCTATGGGAAACCGTGTTTCGGTTTACAAATTTTTCACAATACGAAACGTCCCGGAGAACGCAATAAATTTGTAGAGCAAGGTACACCTGTACAGTGGTCTTGACTATGTAATGTACATCATTGCATAGACGGCAGAGCAGCAGTCAGAACCAGGGGTGGACTGACAACCCGGGCAATAGGGGATCATGAGGCCCCTGTGTCCTTGCCCAAACTCAAAAAAACCTATGAAAAAGGTACCAGGGGCATCTCATGGGGCCCCCTACTGGCCCCGGGCCCTCGGGCAGTGCCCGAGTTTCCAAATGGTCTGTCCGCCCCTGGTCAAAAACTATGTTTTGTAAAACATAATATAGAATGTTGGTGTCCATGGTGAGTGCCCCCTAAACTTGATGTCTGTAATAGGTGTCCTTCAAGTTGTGGTGAGAGTATTTGTTTGTTGGTAATCAGTGAAAGCTAAATAAAATCTTTGATGTCCTGTTGTGACTTACCTTTGCTAAGATGCACAGATCTCACACCAAACCTTTCTACCTACTAGCTCTTTGCAGAGTGATGTTGGACAAATACTTTGCAGGCAAATTCAGACCAAATATCACTCCAACCAAAGCTGCCAGTTTACCAGTAAAACTTTCATGTAAACAAAATCCTCAATAGCAGTAAAGCAGAATCCTCTTTTTGTTTGCACCAAATGCATTTGCTAACTCAGCAACCTAGTATAAATAGCAGCGCTTGTATTTAGACAACAGTTGTTTGGCTAAGATTTCAGCTCTAAATGCCTTGCTAAACCCAAGGGGCCCCGTGACCTCCTATTGCCCGGGGGCCCCATGAGTTGTCAGCATGGGGTCTGACAATGGGTCCAAGAATTTCATCCCAATACTTAATGGCAGTCAGGGTGCCATCGTCTAGCCTGCAGAGATCTGTGCATCCCTCCATGGATATGCCTTCCCAGACCATCATTGACCCAGCACCAAAATGGTCATGCTGAATGATGTTGCAGGCAGCATAACGTTCTCCATGGCTTCTCCAGACCCTTTCACGTTTGTCACATGTGCTCAGGATGAACCTGCTCTCATCTTTGAAAAGCACAGGGAGCCAGTGGCAGACCTGCCAATTTTGGTGTTCAATGGCAAATAGCAATCGAGCTCTATGGTGCCAGGTAGTGAGCACAGGGCCCACTAGAGGACATCGGGCCCTCAGGCCACCCTCATGTAGTCTGTTTCTGATTGTTTGGTCAGACACATTCACACCAGTGGCCTGCTGGAGGTCATTTTGTAGGGCTCTGGCAGTGCTCATCTTGTTCTTCCTCGCAAAGGAGCAGATACCGGTCCTGCTTATGGGTTAAGGACCTTCTACAGCCCTGTCCAGCTCTCCTAGAGTAACTGCCTGTCTCCTGGAATCTCCTCCATGCTCTTAAGACTGTGCTGAGAGACACAGCAAACCTTCTGGCAATGGCACGTATCAATTCACCATCCTGGAAGAGATGCACTGCCTGTGCAACCTCTGTAGGATCCAGGTATCGCCTCATGCTACCAGTAGTGGCACTGACCCTAGCCAAATGCAAAACTAGCAAAAAACAGTCAGAAAACATGAGTAGGGAAAAAAATGTCAGTGGCCTCCACCTGTAAAACCGTTCCTGTTTTGGGGATTGTTTCATTGTTGCCCATCTAGTGCACCTGTTGTTTTTGTCATTAACACCAAAGCAGCTGAAACTGATTAACAACCTACTTAACTGACCAAATAGATCAATATCGCAGGAGCTTAATTGAATTGATGCTATACTCTGATTAAAAAGTGTTCCTTCATTTTTTGAGCAGTATATACGTATATATATATATAATTTTTTTTTCCCCTATCTCACATATAATTTTCCTCACCATAGCACACCTGTAACCATATGTATAATAGGCATGTGCTTTCGTATGGTTTTAACCTGCACTGCGATTTTAACATGTATTGGAGTGTGTTTCTTAATTTTTTTTTTACATTTTATTAGAAAATATTTTATCAACATGAGCTGCAGTGCATTATGGCAGGGATTGAAATTTCCACTCTCCTGCTCGCCAATGGCGGGTGGAAATTATGGTGGGGGTGAGTGTGTCCCCCAGGGCCCTCTTGCTGAGCAGGCTTGGAGCTCAGGCTGGATCTGTCATTGGCACTGGGAGCCGTCAGACTGCTCAATAGCTGAGCGCAGTGAAAGCAAAGCAAGGAGTGTGTGCTGTGCTCTCTGCCTCCCCCTAGAGTGCAGTACCTGGATTTGTGAGTGAACAACGAAGTATTGTGTGTGTGTGTGTGTGTGTGTACATGTGTGTGTCTGTGTATGCATGTGCAATTGTACATGTGTCTGTGTGTATGTACATGTGTGTATCTGTACATGTGTCTGCGTGTTTGTACATGTGTCTGTGTGTATGTACATGTGTGTGTGCAGTGTGCATGTACATGTGTGTATGTACGTACATGTGTCTGTGTGTACATGTGTCTGTGTATGTATGTTTGTTTGTGTGTGTTTGTTGGTGGCGAGTAACTCTAAGGCCTGGCTAGTAGCAAAGGACTTGAAATTTTAAGCCCTGATTATGGCATGTCAGAATGCACTGCAGGAAAAAGCTCCTATTTATTTTCTTTAGCGAGTGTAACTCAAAAGACAAATTGTCTTATTCCATCATTGAGAATACTTTTGGCAGCACAGCTGAATGCAGCCTAATGATACTAGCAGGGGCGGACTGACAACTCATGGGGCCCCCGGGCAATAGGAGGTCACGGGGCCCCTGTGTCATTGCCCACACTCAAAAAAAGCCTATAAAAGGTACCAGGGGCATTTCATGGGGCCCCCTACTGACCCTGGGCCCTCGGGCAGTGCCCGAGTGCTCGAATGGTCAGTCCGCCCCTGGATGCTAGTGTGAAAGAGCCTTTAAACCACTGCACAATCCCTTTAAAGGTGACCATACAAAGGTGACCATACAATGAATATTCTCATTGTACAATCTTCCCTAGATCTCCCTTCAACTATGTAGTATGAGGGCCTGCCTGATTGGATAGGAAGTAAAAGTCTTGTTTAGGTGTGTCCTTATATGTTATCGCTTTGGTAAATCTAAATTCAGATTGTATAGTGTATTGCCAGCTTTTATATAGTATTGACTTACAGATTTATTTCATATAACCAAGGCAGTTTTAATACCTACAATATAAATATGGATCATACAATGTATGTGATGCTTTTTTTTGTAGTACTTACCTTACAAATCATTAAATAGATGTTTTGCGCTTTCCTTTTGAGCCTTCACTATTCATATTGTTGTATTATGCGGCCTTTCAAATGACTCAGAAACTTGTCAGTGTTAACAAATATGAAATATTTCTAAAGCGCAGGGGAGATTAAAATCATCCATGTATGCTGCTTTTCCTTAGTATGGTGTACATGATAGAAACATGAGATCCTACAAGCATATAGTTAGCTTCAGTGCACCTGTCTGCCAATGTTAGTGTATTTGACTGTTTCTTACTTCCAGGGTGATTACCTGCAGACAAAATATGTTTCTTATGTTATTTTAATGTCTCGGTCAAGGCCAATCTTTAAAACTGTAAAATGTTAAAGGTCAATTTGAGTTCCAAAGTTGGCATCTATTAATTTTTCTTGAAACATATCTTGCCAGAAATGCAGTGTTCTTGTCACTTTCTGTGAGCTGCACCAAAGATTATCTTCCTTCCTAGCTATCCTTTGTAAACTATCAATTGCCCTGTTCCTTATGTAATAGGGATTAAGGATATGGGCATCCTCGTAGCCCATGTCAGAAGAGCAGTCTAGGGTGCAGGGGCGGACTGACCATTTCGGAAACTCGCGCACTGCCCTAGGGCCCGGGGTCAGTAGGGGGCCCCATGAGATGCCCCTGGTACCTTTTTCATAGGCTTTTTTGAGTTTGGGCAAGGACACAGGGGCCCCATGATTTCCTATTGCCCAGGGGCCCCATGAGTTGTCAGTCCGCCCCTGCTAGGGTGACAACCAAGGATTTCTCCATAGATACAGCGGAGAAGTGACGTAGCCACCCAAGAGCAGGGAGTGAAGCCCTAAAAAAAGAAAATGAAATGCAAAAAAAGAATAAAGCATAAAAAGCTTGAAAAAAATATCAAATGCAGCCATTACACTAAGGACTAATAACCCGGGATTGATTACACTTTTGGTTTTCGGTTTAGATAAATGTAAGACATGGTTCTCACCAGTGCATATGCACATGCAATTTCAGTCACACAGAATACCATGACAATAGAAAACTCATTGTTTTTAATGGTGGACGTTGACATCAATGCAACTCAGCACAGCACGATTCTGGAAAAGGGTCCTGTACCACTTTCAGTTCACATATATGCAGATTGGATGTGGTTTGATCTGCATCCAATCTGCATGACATATGAAATAACATTGCTTCTTATGGTGCCTGTTCACATGTCCGGTGCACTGGCAGTGCGGATTGAAAAAGAGTCATGTATGATTTCTGAGCAGTACAGTCCAGTTCAGGTATAGATTACAGGCTATTGACTTCTATGGAAATCGTTTCTAAAAACTTACCCCAGAGCAACACAGTGTCACTATGGTGATACTGCACTGCTCTGGTGACTTTATGTAAAAAAAAAAGAAAGAAAAAAAAGTCTAAAAATGTTTTAATTTCCATACTCGTGGAAACAGCAAGTGCTGTGGTGGTGATCGTGTAATGGCTTGGTATTCTGATATCGCTGTATGTCAGTGCCACCAGCCATTGTCTCTGATCACTGTTACAGCAATACAATGTCACCAGACTAGTGCTGTCCCTAAGCACCGCCACATGAGTCAGGGTCCCTAATTACTGCCACACCAATCATATTATTATTATTATTATTATACAGTATTTATAAAGCACCAATAGTTTGCTCAGCGCTGTACATTACAAAGGGGGACAGATCATGTGACAGAACCATAACAATACAATGCAAAACATGAGGGGATTGAGGGCCCTGCTCTTTCGAGCTTACAATCTAGGAGGGAGGGGATGGTGGCACAGGAGGAGATAGCTGTGGGGGATGGAGTGGTAGGAAGAGTGGAGGAGGTCGACAAGTTAGCAGGGGGTGGGGTAGGCTTCCCTGAAGAGATGGGTTTTCAGGGTGCGCCTAAAGGAGAGGAGAGTAGGTGATAATCTGATGGGTTGGGGCAGGGAGTTCCAGAGGATGGGTGACACCCTGGAGAAGTCCTGGAGGCGGGCATGGGAGGAGGAGACCAGGGAACTAGAGAGAAGGAGGTCTTGTGAGGAGCGGAGTGTGCGTGCTGGGTGGTACTTGGATATTAGGTCAGTGATGTAGTTCAGGGCAGTGTGGTGGACAGCTTTGTATGTCAGTGTTAGAAGTTTGAATCTGATCCGTTGCACAATCGGAAGCCAGTGGAGGGATTGGCAGAGGGGGGTGGCGGAAACGGAGCGGTTGGAAAGGTGAATGAGTCTGGCAGCCGTATTCAGGATCGACTGAAGTGGGGATAGCCAG